TTTTTTTATTTATTTTCTATGAATTTTTTAAGTCTGAAATTTTCCCCACAGGGGGAAAATTTCAGACTTGATCCAAATCTTCTTTAATTTCAACTACAATTAACTATTTTTTAATATCATTTTAGTGAAAATTTAGAGATTGTTTTTATTAGCGTCTTATAATTATAAATATAATTTTAAATTAATAGTATGTTTTTAATAAATACTTTAACTTAAAAACCATTCTTATGATTTACGAAGAATTATTGAACGTATTATAAAAAAAGATATCTTTGTTATTTTTTGAAAGAAAGTAGTTGTATAAAATTTATGATAGAAAGATTATAAAAATATTACAGCACCAATAGGTTATCTTTAAATTCAAAGATGAGAATAAAGTGCAATCATTTTTCTTTAGATACAAGTCATGTAGAAAAGAATATAGACTCTTTAAAAACATCTTTTTTGTTAAGAAGAGGAGAGAACACAACTTGCTACACTAGTCAATTAATTTCTGAAAAATATTCATTATTTCGAGGAAAGAACAGTATAAGATACATCATGTCTGCTCTCAAAATAAAGGAAATCAAGCCGTAATCAACTAAACTAACTTTATTAAATCAGAGAATTTCATGATCATATCATAAAAAAAATTCACAAGCGAATTTGTATAAACCTCTGTTAAGTGATAATCGAATGTACAATCGTGAAAAACTTTTTATAGATAAATTTATTAATAATAATAGAGATCCCACTGTAAGAACAACTATGATGAAAGGATTAAAAAATTATGGAGTTTTGATATGTTAGAACAAGATTTTATGAAGGTTTGTTTTGAAAGAAGAGATTAAGAAATATTTCATATTTTTTAGTTAAACATGTTGAAATAGATAGTATGATCAACTATGATGGTTTGAGACTTTTTTTAAAAAATTATTTTAAAGATCACATAGTTATTAACTACTCTTAAAGTATTGTTTATTCTAAATCATACTGTCATATTTAATAAATTTAGTATTTTTAAATTTCAGAAAAATTCAAGATAATTAAGAATGAGATAAACACAAAATGTTTTATACCGCAATACAGTTTAAGCTTTTTTTTCTTTTGGTTTTATTATAAAGAAGATGCATTCAAAAAATTTAGAAATCGTTGGAGAAAATTTATTTTATTTTTTATATAAAATTGTGACGCTAATTCATTTATTGAAAACAAATCAAAACAACAATGATCAGTTTTTTACTATCACCTTCAAAAAAAACTGAATTTTTAAAGTATATTTCTTTTTGTTTTTATTCTAGCTACTCATTATTATACATAAAATTTTTGATATCTCTTAAATAAAAAACATTCATAAAACTGTAATTTAATTACTTTTATAATATTTTCTAAATTAATGACATCATTTGTTGCAGATTGTAACAAGATTTTTCTAATTAAATAAATCAAATTTTTTTTGACACTCAGTGTATAATTTATAAAAATTCATTTAACCATTTTATTTTTTCATTATTTTAGATCTTTTTAATAAAAATAAAATTTATTAATCAATATTCCATGGTAGATTATTCATTAAATCAATAAAACTATGTAAAATTCTTGATTTTTCATGCCTCAAATAATCTTCACTTCCAAACTCTAAAGTTGTGTTATATGTATAATGTATATAGCCCAGATACATATAACTTAAAAATCTAAGAATTTTTTTCTTATCATTTTTATCAAGTCTTTCATCAAATGATTTTGAAATGTCTTCAAAATATTTAAATAGTATACAATTTCCTATTTTATAATTTGGATGAAATACATAAATATTCAAATGTCTGTTTATACTATTAATGATTTTTTTACATTTATAACATTTTTCTTCATTAGAAATATGTGAAAGAAAATTTTTGTTAAATAAATCAATAAATTCTTTTTTTGTATTTTGTAAATTATCGATTTCATCATTGTTTATCATAAAAACCACTTCTTTTAATTTTAAAAAATACGAATAAAACTTAATATACTCGTTTAACAAATCTATGAGTATATTTATGGTTATTATATTTATGACTTTAAAATCATTATGATATTTATACGATAAAACATGAACAAATCTTAATAAAAAACATTCAAAAAAATTCAATCTGTTAGACTTACTTTGAATTGTGTTTAAATCTAAATTAGCAAATTTTTCTAATTTAGATTCATTAAATGTTTTTGTTTTTAAGATTATGTAAAATTTAAATGCCGATATTGTAAATGAAAAATCATTTCTCTGTATAATTTCATAAATTTTCTCTTTATATTGTTTATCAATATCATCTGAAAAACATTTATTTTTTGAATTTTTGACTTCCTTAAATCTTTTCGATAATTCAACAAAAAAATTAAATGTTTCTTCTGTTATATGAGAATATTGAATGATGTTTTGTGTAGTTATTGATTCTTCTGATTCTTTTGATTTTTCTGATTCTTCTAATTCTTTTGATTCTTTTGATTCTTCTAATTCTTTTGATTCTTCTAATTCTTCTAATTCTTTTGATTCTTCTAATTCTTTTGATTCTACTGATTCTTTTGATTCTACTGATTCTTTTGATTGTAACAATTTTTCGTATTCTTCATATTTCAATATTTCTTCTATTTCTTCAGGTTCCATTGCTTTTTCTAATTCTTTTGTTCCATCAAATCTATATATTTCATTAAATTCATTTGACACTAATGGTTCTTTTGATTCTCCTGGTGTGATTTCTTCACCCATTTTACTTGTTTCATCTGTTTTTTGTCGTTTTGCTGGAGGTTCTTCTTCATTATCTGAATCAGTTAATTTCTTTGTTTTTTTTTGGAAAAGGTTGATTTTCAAATTCACCTTGTTTCCTTTTATATTTTGGATCTAATTTCTCAACTGTATGACTAGATGCTTCATCAGTACTGTTGTAAAGTTTTAAAAATAATAAATACCAAATCATTTAAGGGGATATTTAAATTTTTTTAATATAATTATAATAAATTAAATCATGTCATTTTAAATTTTGTTAAAATAATATTATTGTTATTGTTTTAATCAATTTTATATAAAAATTAAAAACTGTCATTTATATCTACTACTCTCATCCCCTTAAAATCTTTGTAAGATTTATAATTAAAATATTTCATAAAACTGACGTTTTTTTTACTTTAATTTTTACTTATATATTTTTTTAAAACAATGAATGTCGTAAACGAGGTTGCTTACAATTGACATCAATCATTTTATTAGTTCTTAAAACAATTGTTTTAAGTTCTCCTTTTCGGGTATATAAATAATATATTCTAAAAATATGAAAATTAGAAGTAAATTTATCCAAAAAAATTTAAGCTTTTCAAAGCCACTAGCCGTGTGGGACACGACAATGACATTCTTTGTTTTAAATTTTAACAAAATTATTTTTTTAAATTATTATTTTCACGTAATAACTAGAGTAATTGTAAAAAATACTTGGTTATAAATATTATTTATTATTTATATATCAACTTTTTTTAATGTATTCTAAAAAATTATACTTTCATATCATTTTTTAATTTTTTTTTTCAACAATTTCTTAAAATTTTTAAATTTAAATTTTTATAATTGATATGTTAATAATAGTACTGTAACCCGTACAACCAATCAAAATAATTTTATTCTTATGAAATATTTTTTATTAAACCATATTTGAAATCATCTTTTTTTAAAACTTTAAAAAGAAAATGAAAAAATAAATTTTGATTAACAAAAGCCATGTTATTAAAAAAAACCACAAGCGTTATTTAAAACATATTATAGCCATTGAATAAAACAAATTAAATAAGAATTTATAAAGAAAAATTTCATTATTTAAATAGTTTAACTTATTAAAATTAATTTGCTATTTTAAAATTATTGCTACTTCTTAAATTATAAATTAATCTTTATTCTTAGTTTATATAAAGTTTTTTAAATTAAAAGCAAAAACAACCACTTTTATTTTTATTTTAACTAAAATGGATTCAAAATTTTTAATATTGTTAAATTTCTTTTTAATAACATGAAAATTACATTTAAACGAAAAATATCTACATTCTTCAACTCTTTATAATTTTTTATAAGAAAATCAAATTTTAACTTCACAAGACAAATATAAATTTTAAGTAATATTTTCAATTTTTTAAGTGATTCATTAAAAAATCAAATTTTTATTTTAATTTGTTTAATTTATCAAAAAAATATGTAAACCCGATAATTAAATTAAGTAAAACTCTTTTTAAATATTATTATAATTTTAGTATGATATTTAAAAAAATATAGCAATTAATTATTTCATTTAAATCAATAAACAACAAGATGTGAATTTTATAACACTTTTTAAAAAGTATTATAAAGTTTAAAAGTCTTACAATTATTTTCTATTAAAATCAATTAATAATTTTATATGGTTTTCTCTTTATTTGTATATTGAGATCATTATTGGTTTTATTTATACAAAAATTATTTAATTTCAATTAAAAATTAAAAAGAAAAGCTTTCAAGTTTATATAATTAAAAAAAATCATTTATATTATTAGTTTGTATCAAGATATAGATTATGTATTATAAACATTTAATCTTATCTTCGACTTCATATTTGTTACTTCATTTATCTCTATAATTTTTTTAAATGAATCATTAAAAAAAATCTTCAATGTATTCATTCTTCGTATTATATAATATTCTAAACCGATTTTCTATCACAGATTTTTTTAATAAATGCAAAACTTCCTTTTACTCATAACAACGTTTTAACTAAAGAAATTTTAAAAATAAATCATATCAATACTTAGTTCAATATTTTCTATTGCTAAATAAATAAATATACTAAGATAGAATCTATAGTATTTTTAAAAACATAAATGATACCTTGATTTTAAAGCTTTAATACGGAGGTAGTAGTAGGTGGAAGAAAAATATCTAGAAATTAACTAATGAAAATATATCATAATTGGAAAAATTATTAACAATCAACAATATTTTTCTATCTTTTAAAATCATTTTTTACTTAAATATGCAATATATTTATAAATATATTTCTGTAACCAGTGCAGAATTATTAGATTTATAAAACATTTTTAGATTTTTAGAATTAAAATTTTTAAAGCTTCCTGGTGATTTTAACTTTCCTACAATCAAAGTATAAAGTAATTTTTCATTAAATTTACATGTTATTCTAATTCAAAATTTTGTTTTGTTATTTAAAAATTTTTACATCGTTACTCTTTAAAACTTATGATTTGCTTTCTTGTGATTTGATATATAAACTGTCTCATCCATATTAAACAAACCATCATTAAAATATTTATCTTTGAATATATTTAAATAGTTGTTAAATTCAGTTAAGTCTATATCTTTTACAGACCTACTTTTGCCAAATAATTACAATATTTAATATTAGTCTTTTTAAAAATTTTGTAATAAAGTAATGGGTAAGTTTTAACTAAAAATTATTATAATTGCTTGTAATATTTGAAATTATAATTCTATTATTAATTATATTGCGTAAACTAATTTAGTTTAATTTGTCAAGGATATAGGTAAAATTGTTATAATACTTTGTGTTAATATCTTTTGTTAAATAAGAAAAGATCATTTTCATTATATGATAATAGTCTTTCTAAATTATTAATAAGTTTTATTATCGTCTTAATGACATATTGTATTTCAAAGTCAAATTTGACATTGTAAGATTACATAATCAATATACAAAAGCTATTTCCTCTTATTTTATTATTAATCTCACTGTAATATCTTATATCATCACAGATAAATTATGATTCAATCATCTTATAATTGATCGATTCATCTTTTTTAATTATTTAAACAAAACCTTTAAATAAAATAATGATTAAATCAAATAACGTTTATAAACAATTTTCACGTGTAGGAAGGAACCTTAAACCGTGTAAGGAATATCATTAAACATATAAATTTTAAGAGAAAGGATGTCACCTTCTTTTTGTTATATTTTTATTTTTAAAACGGTGTTGTAATTTTTTTTAAGAATAATAAAAAATTATTTCTAATTAATGATTCAAACAATTAAGATTTATGTTACAAATATTTAAAAAATTAGGTGTAATTTAAACATCTTAAAGTAATATTTATATCACCAAATCAGAAATTTTAAAAAACAAAAGTTAATTTATAATCACTGTTTATACTATAAAAAGATAAAAATAACAAGTGTTGTGTTTATTTTTTTATTAAATTTTCTTTTACTAATTTCATAGCTGTTGTATTTCAAATAAATGTTGATTTTGTTTTTAAAAATAAAATCTGACTCGTTAAAATATTTTAGTCAAATTTTATTTTTGCGTATATTTTTTTTAAACAAGAATAATAATTTCTTAATATTCATTTTTTCTCAAATAATTTATTATTTGAAAATTTTTAATTATTAGTTTCTAATTCTGTATCTGATTCTTCAATAATAGTTTCTAATTCAGTATGATAAGATTCCTCAGTAATAGTTTCTAATTTAATTATAGATTTGTTTAAAATATTTTTATAATAGTCATGTATTAAATTCTTTACAAAATCAACTTTATGTTTAAAGTTTTCAAACATAATTTCTATTCGTTCAAAAATTCTATGTTTTTGTTTTTGTAGTTTTACTAAGTTTTCCATTAATAAAATATGAGTTTTAAAAATGATTTTCAAACTATCAGTCAATTCATCTAATCTTTTCTTGTTTACTCTTCCTTTTTTCAGTTCATCATTTATGTTAACTAATTTCTCATTATTAACTTGAAAATCAATTATTAATTGTTTTTCTTCTAAGAATTCGTTCTTTGATGAACTATCATATTCTTCCGTTTCATTAATATTTAGGTTTGAACTATTATAAGTTGTAGTTTTTATTAAATTTAACAAACAAAACATTAATATCAACATTTTACTTAAGAACTTCCTTTTCATAATGTAAGTGGAAAATATAATTTTTTATAAATACAAATTTTTGACTTTTTTGAGATATTTTAAATTTAATTTATTTGAAAAACCATCTTTTATTACTTGATTTCTGTTTTTTTAACAACATTTTTTCAATATAAACGTCATTTGAAATGAAATATTATTTTATTAAATTTTTTCTTGAAAATAAAAATCTAAAAATACTGAAGATGATGTTTAAAAATTTGTTAGTTATATAATTGTTGTACCCGGTGCAACCAATAAAAATGATGTTATATTTTAGTAATATTATTGATTAAACATAATTTGAAAGACTCCTTTTGAAACTATAAAAGGAAAATTAAATAAATAAAATATGGTTCACAAAGGACATTTTATTTTAAATAATACAAAGCGCTTCATTAAATACAGTCTAGCCGAAGGGCACAACAATAATAAACTCTGATTAAATTTCTGTCTTTTTTCATCAATTTGATTTATTTCTTCTTTGTATCATTTAAATAAACTTAGTAAGTAAAGATTTTTTCAAAATTAAAAAATTCTCTTTAAAAATATTAAAATGAATTGTTCTATTTATTAACTATTTTAATTAATTTTTAATGAAATTATCAAAATTGTTAGAAGATAAACAATTTAATTTATTAAAATATATCACTATTAAATATATCTTTACTGTTTATTATTTTTACTCCATCATCCTTATCATTGTCTTGCATCATATAATTTATATCTCCCATTTTCTCAGTTTTATAAACTTAAATATGTTAAAATTTTATCAAATAAATACCTTTTTGGTAACTAACTCAACCTAATTTTTAAAATATTTTAATAGAAATTGTTTTAACTCTTAAAGGATACTTACAAACATTGATGAATAATTTATTAAAATTGTTTAATTAACTGACTATTTTTCTTAATAAAATTAGAAATTCAAAAAATCAAAAATGTTTGTGTTAATTTGGTATTTTTATTGATTATACAAATATAACACATCAGATAAAAAGAATGTATAGATTGACTAAACTGGTTCTAACTTCCTCTTTAATCTAATCAATAATAAAAGATAATTATAAAAGTAATAAAAATAGTGTATTTTATATTTTTGATTGTTTTAGCAAAATTTTAAACAATTTTACTTAAAAATTCTTTTATATTCATTTTAAATATTAGATTTAAAAATAGTATAATAATTTATTGGATATAAAAAAATATTAATATTTATTAAATGTAATGTAAATTAAAAGTTTTCAGTAAGAATTATTTAAACGTATTTTTACATAATAAAACAAAATTGGGGTATATAAAAAATTTTAAGGTAATATTTAAAAGTATTTCTTTCTTTAATATTAATTTACAGGTATAAATTCATCATTTAGTTAATTTATAAGAGAGATGTTTTTTTTCTAAAACAGACAATTTTTATTATAAAGAATAATTACTCATTTTTAATTTTAAAAATCAAAATATATCTTTTATACAAAAATTAAAATATTCATATTAAAAATATATGATATTTTACTATTTATAAGTAAAATAAATAATTTTTAAAGTATTTTACTCGTTTTATTATATATATTAATCTTAAAAAATTTTACTTACGTGGTTCGTTTAACTACTCAAATTGTATGCCAATTTACTATCTACTAGTTAAATATTACTAAATCGTTTGTTTTTAAAACTTTTATAGGTTCTCCATAAGCATCTATGTTTAAAAATTTCAAATATAAGAAAGGTTTAATTAGAAATTTAACCTCGATTTTTTTAAATACAGCATTTTTAAATATAAAATCATTATCGTTTATATATTAATTTATTTAAAATTACTATAAAATTTTTATTTTTTATTAAATTTTTTCTTAAAATAACTAATCTTAATAACAATAATTATTAATGAAATAATAGCTAATGAAA